TTGTAAAGACGTTTCTGGGGCTTGTAAAGACGTTTCTGGGGCTTGTAAAGACGTTTCTGGGGCTTGTAAAGACGTTTCTGTGGCTTGTAAAGACGTTTCTGGGGTTTGTAAAGACGATTTAACGTCATGTGGATGCTCCTCGCCTCTCGCAGCTCGTCTCTGTCTAAAGACCACCTGACGCCTCGTGATCTGCTCCAGTCCTCCAAGAAAGATCCGGAGTTTCGCTCCATTTTCCAGCACATCCAGTCGGCGCAGCTGCACCGCAGCCCGTCGGAGTTGTTCGCTCAGCACATCGTCTCCATCGTTCATTACATCAAAGGTAGTGACGGGTCTGGACCCTGCAGACGGCAGGACGTCTGTCGGTTGTTGAGGTGTGTGTCTGTGTGTTAACCGTTGTGTGTTTGCAGCTCATCACTTCCGCACGTCAGACATGAGTCTGAGCGAGCGCTTTGCCATGTACCAAAGAAAAGCTGCCGAGGCAGAAATGATGAGGAAGAGCCCAGAAATCCACAGGTATCCACAGGTGTTGTCTCACCGTGACACAGCTGCTCTCTGTTGTTGACGACCTCTGACCCCATGTGTCCTCCTGCAGGAGAATCGATGTTTCCCCCAGTGCCTTTAAGAGGCACACCCCCCAGTTTGAGGATTTGGACGAGATGAGCTACAAGGTGACGCGCACTTTTGAAATTTGAAATAGTTGGAGTGTGAGCCGATCCCGAGCAGCAGTGTTCAGCTTTGTGCTTTTCTTTCAAAGGATGCATATTTCTAAATCAAAAGAACCAAATGTGTTTTATAAGTGCCAAGAAACCCCCCAGCCTAAGAGATATGGTTATTGATTGGGTATGTACGAACCCGAGCAAAGGCTTAAAGGAAGTGAATTAAGATCCAGAGTCCAAGCCTCTCATGGGACGCTTATCTGTGCCTTACCTTGTAAGTATTTTCTCTGACCAGAAAACCATCAAGCCACAAACTGTGACGTCAGTCAATGTTCATGAGCTTCATGCATGTCCTGAAACACGTGTTAATCTGGCAACATGCCGGAGACTTTGAATTCTGTGCTCACGTTTTGTGTGCAGCCGTTTGGTCTCCTTGGTGACTAACAGAACCTCACCTCTGCAGGAACCCAGTAAAAAGTTCAAAGGTGACGTGATGGACCTGCGTCTGGATATAGAAAGACGTAAGAGGTTTGCTGGGAAGGAGCGCGACAACAAGCGAGAAGGAGGCAAGAGCCCTGGGGGCTCCCGAGGACCCAGCAGGGAGAGGTCCTCTGAGAAATCTGGGAAACACCACAAGAAGTCCAAGTAGGTCCTCACCTGTAGCTCCTGTAGATGTTCGTTTTATTAGCTCTCACATGAAACATCTTCAACCACCAGATGAAACGTTGTTAATCCTTCTGCTGGAGTAAAACCTGTAACCATGACAACAAATGTCTTCCTCACAGAAAGAGTAAGAAGAAGAGGGAACGCTCTCATTCCTCCTCTTCCTCCTCCTCTCCATCCCTCTACCCTCCCCCGTTCAAAGGGAAGGAGTACCTGGGGGAGGGGATGGAGCACCCGGAGGAGGGCTTCAGCCAACCTCGCTATCCTCCGCGGGACTACAGCGGCCCCGGGGACCGGGGCCCCCGAGAGTACGAGGGCCACGGTGCAGACAGAGGAAGAGGCCGAGGATTTGTAAGTTCCTGTCGGACGCTTGTTTTTGTCCTCACAGCAGGTCTGTGCTCTTCGTCTTGATGATGATGATGATGTGACGGTAAGGCAGCGTCCCTCGGTGAAGTCGTCTCCTCACCGTGCCCCGCCTTCTGTTTCGACTCGTTTGCTCTGAGGCGATGAAGATGTTTGTGTCCGACCCAAACCTTCGTCTTGTTTCAGTTTCCCAGAGTGAGAGGACGAGGCTGGACCAGAGGGAACTATCCTGGGAACAGCAACGGGAACCCCCCTAATGCCAACCCCACGGCTCGCCCCCAGGAGGAGGAGTGGGACCCCGAGTACACCCCCAAGAGCAGGAAGTACTACCTGGTCAGTTCCTGCTGACACCTGTACAGGTGATCAGGGACCTCTGTGTCAGCTCATCAAACTCATGATGCATCAGGAAAAGCTGCACTCTGTCATAACCACTTAACCACCGGGCAGCATTCTTTTATTTACTAATTGATTTAGAAATAAATATTTGAATGTGTCCGTTCAACCAAAGTCCATATTTTAAATTCAGAGGCTTTTTGAACCCTGGAAGAGAAGCAGGAGTGAAAATGTTTTTTTATTCTTTACGCTGCTGCTTTTGTTCCTGCAGGTCACGTGACGTCACAGGTTCAATGACCAACGGGGTCTAAACAAACTCGGGCTGTCAGGAGTTAATTATTGTGATTTTTGTAGCGACCAGCAGGGGGCAGCAGACTGCTGCACACAGCTCGTTGTGACGCAGACACGTCTCTAACGACAAGTGAAACTTTAAACCAGTTTGATTTTAGAGAAGAATCGGTGGAAGCTTCGTGTCTGATTCTACACTTTGTCTTCAGCACGATGATCGCGACGGAGAGAAAACCTGGATGGACAACCGCGGCCGGGGGAGGGGCTCCTTCCCAACTCGCCGTGGCCGCTTCCTGTACCGGAGAGGCAGTGGAGGCAGCCCCAAGTGGACCCACGACATGTTCCAGGGGGGTGAGGAGGGGGAGCTGGGGGACGACGGCATCGAGGACGAGCATAAAGGGTCCAAGAGCGCCGGCGACCTCACCAAGTAGTCTGGTTACCGTGGCAACGACAAGCGTCTTCTTCCACATCATCTAACGGTTGAAAAGACGAGCAGCTCTTTGTGTTTTTGTTTGATGTTTTTTGTTGGGGGGGGCAATTTCGATTTGATGTAGAAACTAAAAGCTTCTGTGCCTTAGAGAAGAGTGAACATGTTCCTGCAGCGGGCCGAGGCAGAACCCAGGGTTCTGATCAAACGCTCAGAGGGACCAAACAGACCCGAGCGTCCTCGCACCGATTAGTTTCAGTCACATTCGTCAGTTTTGTCTGATGGTGATTTTATTTCAGTAAACTGTTTAGATTTTAAATCTCAAGTTAAAAAATATTTAGGGAAGAATTTGATGAAACAAATCTTAAAGCTGCAGTTCCTCGTCAGAAACCTGAAGTCTGAGTCTGCATGTCCCGAAACGGTAATCTGTAATCTGAGCTCGTTTGGATTTTTACTGTTCTGACCTTCAAACTTTTAGTTTCAATAAATCTTTCTTTAATTCTGACATTTCTCTAGTTGTTTTTTTTTTTACATTTCAAACGTGACCTGAAATTATTTTCATTAAAAACTGCCCCTCCTCATGCACAGTGATGGCTGGACGTGCGCACCAGCGACCGAAGATGGATGGATTCTGTTCCTCATTATTTTGTTTGGAAACAAGATTTTAATTTGAAATCCTAATTGGTGTCTGTTCAGGATTATAATTTTCTGAAAATCCTGTTAGAACATGTTTAAAGTTGGTGATCAATCTCCGCCCACACTCCTGCCTCAGGTCAGACTCCGCCCACACTCCTGCCTCAGGTCAGACTCCGCCCACACTCCTGCCTCAGGTCAGACTCCGCCCACACTCCTGCCTCAGGTCTGCTGGACATTTGAATTCAAGTCCACGTTTGTTTTTTCCTCCTGGATGTTTTAAACTGGAAGAGTTGAGTTAAATGATGTGGACAGAAATGGAAGAAGACCGTCTCCATGGCAACTGGTTCTGAAACTTTGGGTCAGGCCCCCACTGGGTCACGAGCACTGGATTTCCACACAGCCTGGAATTAGATTTTAGTATTTTCCAAGAAATTCAGACAAACTTTCTAAAGACGATCCAAAATAGAAAAAATATTTTTCATTTTATGTGTGAAAAAATGTTTTATATTTTTTAATGTAAAATTCAAATCAGAGACTTTGAAGGAGAATAACTGCAGTCGAGGGTTATTTTCCCATGATGCATTGTAAAACTGATAAACACTAAAATAAAAACAAACCGTAGTTTAGATTTAACAGAAAATTCAACTGAACTAAAATATATGAAAAATCAGAAAATTCAGTTTCTTTATCGTCGTTCCATCACGTGGTACATGAGGTGGAACGAGATTATGTTCACAGGGTCCCAGTTCCATCCAACAATAAAATGTAAACTAAAAACTAATAAGATCAAAGATATGAACTAAGACAAACGTCAACTAAATGTTCATGAAGCACGAACAGCATAAACACAAACAATAAGCCGAACAGCAGCACGAACATGAGTCTGAGAGTCAGAACCTTGATATCAATCAATCAATCATGTTCTGCTTCTTGTCTGTGGGCGGGTTGTGGAGGTACCAGGTCCATAAAGAAAACACGGACCTCCAGGTGTTCCCAGACCAGAGACCCTCTCAAAACTTAATTTATGTTTATATTTTATTCTTTTAATCATTTTTGTCATCAGACACGTGGAGCAGAGGAGCTGGGAACAGGAAGTGGAGCAGAGAGGAGCTGGGAACAGGAAGTGGAGCAGAGGGGAGCTGGGAACAGGAAG